TATAGCATATTAATGTCTTTTTGATATTTTTTTATCATTTTACAGGCAGAAAAAGCTTTGAAAGAACAAAGCATACAAACTGTGTTGATAAATCCAAACAAAGCCACGGGGCTAAGTGCACAGTGACTTTGGAGAAGATAATGCAAAAAAGGAAGTGACCATTGCATATTAATATCTTGTACATATTTATTTCATCATTGCAGAAAAAGAAATGACCATTGAAATTTATAGCATATTAATGTCTTTTTGATATTTTTTTATCATTTTACAGGCAGAAAAAGCTTTGAAAGAACAAAGCATACAAACTGTGTTGATAAATCCAAACAAAGCCACGGGGCTAAGTGCACAGTTATTATGGAGGAGATAATGCAAAAAAGAAAGTGACCATTGCATATTAATATCTTGTACATATTTATTTTATCATTGCAGAAAAAGAAATGACCATTGAAATTTATAGCATATTAATGTCTTTTTGATATTTTTTTATCATACAGGCAGAAAAAGCTTTGAAAGAACAAAGCATACAAACTGTGTTGATAAATCCAAACAAAGCCACGGGGCTAAGTGCACAGTGACTTTGGAGAAGATAATGCAAAAAAGGAAGTGACCATTGCATATTAATATCTTGTACATATTTATTTTATCATTGCAGAAAAAGAAATGACCATTGAAATTTATAGCATATTAATGTCTTTTTGATATTTTTTTATCATTTTACAGGCAGAAAAAGCTTTGAAAGAACAAAGCATACAAACTGTGTTGATAAATCCAAACAAAGCCACGGGGCTAAGTGCACAGTTATTATGGAGGAGATAATGCAAAAAAGAAAGTGACCATTGCATATTAATATCTTGTACATATTTATTTTATCATTGCAGAAAAAGAAATGACCATTGAAATTTATAGCATATTAATGTCTTTTTGATATTTTTTTATCATTTTACAGGCAGAAAAAGCTTTGAAAGAACAAAGCATACAAACTGTGTTGATAAATCCAAACAAAGCCACGGGGCTAAGTGCACAGTGACTTTGGAGAAGATAATGCAAAAAAGGAAGTGACCATTGCATATTAATATCTTGTACATATTTATTTTATCATTGCAGAAAAAGAAATGACCATTGAAATTTATAGCATATTAATGTCTTTTTGATATTTTTTTATCATTTTACAGGCAGAAAAAGCTTTGAAAGAACAAAGCATACAAACTGTGTTGATAAATCCAAACAAAGCCACAGGGCTAAGTGCACAGTTATTATGGAGGAGATAATGCAAAAAAGAAAGTGACCATTGCATATTAATATCTTGTACATATTTATTTTATCATTGCAGAAAAAGAAATGACCATTGAAATTTATAGCATATTAATGTCTTTTTGATATTTTTTTATCATTTTACAGGCAGAAAAAGCTTTGAAAGAACAAAGCATACAAACTGTGTTGATAAATCCAAACAAAGCCACGGGGCTAAGTGCACAGTTATTATGGAGGAGATAATGCAAAAAAGAAAGTGACCATTGCATATTAATATCTTGTACATATTTATTTTATCATTGCAGAAAAAGAAATGACCATTGAAATTTATAGCATATTAATGTCTTTTTGATATTTTTTTATCATTTTACAGGCAGAAAAAGCTTTGAAAGAACAAAGCATACTAACTGTGTTGATAAATCCAAACAAAGCCACGGGGCTAAGTGCACAGTTATTATGGAGGAGATAATGCAAAAAAGAAAGTGACCATTGCATATTAATATCTTGTTCATATTTATTTTATCATTGCAGAAAAAGAAATGACCATTGAAATTTATAGCATATTAATGTCTTTTTGATATTTTTTTATCATTTTACAGGCAGAAAAAGCTTTGAAAGAACAAAGCATACAAACTGTGTTGATAAATCCAAACAAAGCCACGGGGCTAAGTGCACAGTGACTTTGGAGAAGATAATGCAAAAAAGGAAGTGACCATTGCATATTAATATCTTGTACATATTTATTTTATCATTGCAGAAAAAGAAATGACCATTGAAATTTATAGCATATTAATGTCTTTTTGATATTTTTTTATCATTTTACAGGCAGAAAAAGCTTTGAAAGAACAAAGCATACAAACTGTGTTGATAAATCCAAACAAAGCCACGGGGCTAAGTGCACAGTTATTATGGAGGAGATAATGCAAAAAAGAAAGTGACCATTGCATATTAATATCTTGTACATATTTATTTTATCATTGCAGAAAAAGAAATGACCATTGAAATTTATAGCATATTAATGTCTTTTTGATATTTTTTTATCATTTTACAGGCAGAAAAAGCTTTGAAAGAACAAAGCATACAAACTGTGTTGATAAATCCAAACAAAGCCACGGGGCTAAGTGCACAGTGACTTTGGAGAAGATAATGCAAAAAAGGAAGTGACCATTGCATATTAATATCTTGTACATATTTATTTCATCATTGCAGAAAAAGAAATGACCATTGAAATTTATAGCATATTAATGTCTTTTTGATATTTTTTTATCATTTTACAGGCAGAAAAAGCTTTGAAAGAACAAAGCATACAAACTGTGTTGATAAATCCAAACAAAGCCACGGGGCTAAGTGCACAGTTATTATGGAGGAGATAATGCAAAAAAGAAAGTGACCATTGCATATTAATATCTTGTACATATTTATTTTATCATTGCAGAAAAAGAAATGACCATTGAAATTTATAGCATATTAATGTCTTTTTGATATTTTTTTATCATTTTACAGGCAGAAAAAGCTTTGAAAGAACACAGCATACAAACTGTGTTGATAAATCCAAACAAAGCCACGGGGCTAAGTGCACAGTGACTTTGGAGAAGATAATGCAAAAAAGGAAGTGACCATTGCATATTAATATCTTGTACATATTTATTTTATCATTGCAGAAAAAGAAATGACCATTGAAATTTATAGCATATTAATGTCTTTTTGATATTTTTTTATCATTTTACAGGCAGAAAAAGCTTTGAAAGAACAAAGCATACAAACTGTGTTGATAAATCCAAACAAAGCCACGGGGCTAAGTGCACAGTTATTATGGAGGAGATAATGCAAAAAAGAAAGTGACCATTGCATATTAATATCTTGTACATATTTATTTTATCATTGCAGAAAAAGAAATGACCATTGAAATTTATAGCATATTAATGTCTTTTTGATATTTTTTTATCATTTTACAGGCAGAAAAAGCTTTGAAAGAACAAAGCATACAAACTGTGTTGATAAATCCAAACAAAGCCACGGGGCTAAGTGCACAGTGACTTTGGAGAAGATAATGCAAAAAAGGAAGTGACCATTGCATATTAATATCTTGTACATATTTATTTTATCATTGCAGAAAAAGAAATGACCATTGAAATTTATAGCATATTAATGTCTTTTTGATATTTTTTTATCATTTTACAGGCAGAAAAAGCTTTGAAAGAACAAAGCATACAAACTGTGTTGATAAATCCAAACAAAGCCACGGGGCTAAGTGCACAGTTATTATGGAGGAGATAATGCAAAAAAGAAAGTGACCATTGCATATTAATATCTTGTACATATTTATTTTATCATTGCAGAAAAAGAAATGACCATTGAAATTTATAGCATATTAATGTCTTTTTGGTATTTTTTTATCATTTTACAGGCAGAAAAAGCTTTGAAAGAACAAAGCATACTAACTGTGTTGATAAATCCAAACAAAGCCACGGGGCTAAGTGCACAGTTATTATGGAGGAGATAATGCAAAAAAGAAAGTGACCATTGCATATTAATATCTTGTTCATATTTATTTTATCATTGCAGAAAAAGAAATGACCATTGAAATTTATAGCATATTAATGTCTTTTTGATATTTTTTTATCATTTTACAGGCAGAAAAAGCTTTGAAAGAACAAAGCATACAAACTGTGTTGATAAATCCAAACAAAGCCACGGGGCTAAGTGCACAGTGACTTTGGAGAAGATAATGCAAAAAAGGAAGTGACCATTGCATATTAATATCTTGTACATATTTATTTTATCATTGCAGAAAAAGAAATGACCATTGAAATTTATAGCATATTAATGTCTTTTTGATATTTTTTTATCATTTTACAGGCAGAAAAAGCTTTGAAAGAACAAAGCATACAAACTGTGTTGATAAATCCAAACAAAGCCACGGGGCTAAGTGCACAGTTATTATGGAGGAGATAATGCAAAAAAGAAAGTGACCATTGCATATTAATATCTTGTACATATTTATTTTATCATTGCAGAAAAAGAAATGACCATTGAAATTTATAGCATATTAATGTCTTTTTGATATTTTTTTATCATTTTACAGGCAGAAAAAGCTTTGAAAGAACAAAGCATACAAACTGTGTTGATAAATCCAAACAAAGCCACGGGGCTAAGTGCACAGTTATTATGGAGGAGATAATGCAAAAAAGAAAGTGACCATTGCATATTAATATCTTGTACATATTTATTTTATCATTGCAGAAAAAGAAATGACCATTGAAATTTATAGCATATTAATGTCTTTTTGATATTTTTTTATCATTTTACAGGCAGAAAAAGCTTTGAAAGAACAAAGCATACAAACTGTGTTGATAAATCCAAACAAAGCCACGGGGCTAAGTGCACAGTTATTATGGAGGAGATAATGCAAAAAAGAAAGTGACCATTGCATATTAATATCTTGTACATATTTATTTTATCATTGCAGAAAAAGAAATGACCATTGAAATTTATAGCATATTAATGTCTTTTTGATATTTTTTTATCATTTTACAGGCAGAAAAAGCTTTGAAAGAACAAAGCATACAAACTGTGTTGATAAATCCAAACAAAGCCACGGGGCTAAGTGCACAGTTATTATGGAGGAGATAATGCACCAAAGCCACAGTGTGAAGTGCACAGTTACTTTGGAGAAGATAATGCAAAAAAAGAAGTGACCGTTGAAATTAATAGCATATCTTTTTTATATGTAATGTATTTTTTTACAGGCAATAAAAGCTATGAAAGAAGAAAGCATACAGACTGTGTTGATAAATCCAAACATAGCCACAGTACAGACATCAAAAGGACTGGCAGACAAAATATACTTCTTACCTATCACACCAGAATATGTCATACAGGTATGTCATTGACTTAAATATGCAAACAACTGGCAGACAAAATTTACTTTATTTGGTAATCATACCCATTTTGCTTGAGTGTTTATATAGATATTTTATTAACAGGTTTATAGGAAAAATTGTAATATGGATCTTTCTTTGAATGTTGATTCATATCTATTTATTATGAAAGATTTTCAGTCATGTTTTGCCTTGGGGTACAGGTACATTCGAAGTGATAACAACTTCACAAAAGATATTGACCAATAGCCAATATTATTTCATTTTTTTTTCTTTTCATATTACTGTAAATTTAGAAATTTATTGCGAAGTGCATACAAGCTATTTTTCACTCATATTAGTTGATTCAAATATGTAATAAGAAACATACCTTCATGTGCTAAATTTAGAATTAAATGGGGTCAAAATTTTAGAAATTTACTTAAAATTTCAGTTTCTTGGACAGACATACGTAACTTTTTTGTTTCAAAAGGTAAAACACATGCAGATTTTTTTCTATAAGATTTGGAATATCTGCATTACAAAAATATGCTCTTAATTTGTGTAACAATTCTTTGAAAACAATTACTTTTTATTAAAATTTCATGATTTTGGGGAAAAAAACAGCAATTTTTGCTGCTTTTTTATCTAATTTAAAATTCATCGGTGATTTTTCATAAAAATTGGTACAAATAATCTTCATACAGTATCAAATGTCCTTTTAAAAAAGAGAGGTCCATGTACTCGTTTTCAAGCTAATGATTAAAATCACTTGAAAAATGCATCTTCCCCGATATGTTGCTGTTTGATGTCGCGTAAAATAACATATTACCAACGTCATTACCTCCCCTGTAACTGTATCTTATGTCCTTAATCTCTCATTTGTGTCCATTTTTAAAAAATCACAAAAATAAAAGCTCAAAATAATTTCTGAATTCACAGTATTAGAATAAAAGTTTGACAGCCATTTATAATTTTATATGGTTTTCTGCTCAGGTTATAAAAAGTGAACGTCCTGATGGTGTTCTGTTGACCTTTGGGGGTCAAACAGCATTGAATTGTGGGATAGAATTGACAAAACAAGGCATATTGGAGAAGTACAACGTAAAGGTTTTGGGCACACAGGTTGCATCAATTGAATGGACAGAAGATAGAAAAATATTTGCTGAAAAGATGGAAGAAATAAATGAACATGTAGCTCCAAGTGAAGCTGCATATACAGTTGATCAGGTAATTATTACAGAGCATGCTGGGTCTATGTGATCACTCTGGATTTCAAGCTGGTGCAGAATTCTGAATCCAAGACATTTTATGAAACCAATGACGTGTTAAATGACAAACAGTAGTAACACTTTTTATGCCCCCGCCGTGGCGGAGGGGGCATTAAGTTTAACCCTTGTACGTATGTACGTACGTCCCAAAATTGGATTCCGTTCTCTAACTTTTAGTTTGCCTCAACCAAATGTTATGAAACCTATACACAATGCTCATTAGACAAAATACAGATCCAGTATGAATTTTGGTGGCGTCACTTTTACCGTTCTAGAGTTTTGTCCCTTTACAAATAGAAAAATTGCTGAATATTTCGTTTCCGTTCTCTAACTTAAGTTTGCCTCAACTAAATGTATACACAATGCTTATAACCGCAAAACTCAGATCAAGTACACTTTTACAGTTCTTGAGTTGTGTCCCTTTATAACGTTATATGCAAGCAGGGGCATCATCTGTGTCCATGGGACACATTCCCCATTTATTTCAATATTCTGCTACCAACTTTTAACATGAAAATTGGTCTTAAATTAAGAAAAAAAGAGGTCGAACAGCTACTAAACTTTAAATATACACTTGCATACGGTTCCTTTGTAAATAAAAAAATCTTAAAATATTACTTTTAATGAATTAATGTGGAAAGTTAAGATATCAAATTTAAGCTTTTGATAAGAATTATGGAAGTATTTTATTGATATCTTATGCATGTGTAAGTAATTGAAAAAAATTAGAACAATTACATTATGTGTTAATATCGATTCCCACACATTTATATCCCAGTTTACGGGACGTATTATGGTATACCTCTGTCCATCCTTCCGTCTGTCCGTCCGTCGTCAACATGTCGGACATTAACTAAAACACTTTAACCAATTTGCATAAAACTTTGGTGAATTGTTTATATTTATTGACTTGAACTCCCTTATTTGTTTTTTATAAATTTCAGATGTTACGTTTTCGAGTTGTGGGGTTTTATTCATTAAAAAAAGAGGGATTTTCCAGTTTTCGGACAATAACTCAAGAATGCTTTCACCAACTTGCAAGAAATTGTGGTGAATTGTTTATATCTATTGACATGAGCTCCCTTTTGATTTTTATATATTTTAAATTTTACGTTTCACAGTTACAGGGTTTTATTCATAAAAAAAGGGGGATTTTCCAGTTTTCAGACAAAAAATCAAAAATGCTTTCAGCAGTTCTTATGAAAGTTTGGTGAATTGTTTATATCTATTGATGTAAGCTCCGTTTAGAATTTTATAAATTTTACATTTTACATTTCTGAGTTATGGGGTTTTATTCATTAAAAAAGGTGGGATTTTCCAGTTTTCGGACAATAACCCTAAAATGCTGTCAGCAATACTCATGAAACTTTGATGAATTGTTTATATCTATTTATGTAAGCTCCCTTTACATTTTCATAAATTTCTAATATGACATTGAGAATTAATTGAACTTTATTTGTTTATAGTCTGACAACAGATTTACTAAGTATCGCACAACAGCACAGTGTATTGCACAACAGCAAGAAATCTTTTATTGAATATAAATTCAGTTCATATAACCAATTTCAAGTTCTTTGACTACATTTATTCAGAAACCTATAATATGTCAAATATTTAATTACAATCCAAATTCAGACCTGTATCAAGCTTGAATATTGTGTCCATTTTTGCCCCAACTGTTCAGGGTTTGACCTCTGCGGGCTTATCCAGCTACACTCAGCGAAGCAGTTTATTTAAAATACTCTTGATCCATTAATTTCCATAGGGATCTGAATCTCCAGTAATATAGCTGGGTTAGCAACTACGCTACTTTTAGTTCTTATGATTATTAACCATAGTCAACATAACATTACATAATTGAACAAACCCTTTAAAAATTATTGTACAACACAATACACAACATAGTACACAATTATTGACTTCAATAGTATGTTGGATAGTTGTTATACAAGTAAAGAAACGATTAAAAAATTATTAACCTAAAACTACATTTGATCTACACTACATAAAACCTTATGTTAGTTAAGTGTCAAAGATAAATTGTTAAGGATTAATAAGATATATTGTTTTTTAAATAAAAGACAAAAACGGAATATGTTTAAAAAATTGATAGCAGGGTTTATTTATGTTTAGAATAAGCATCCTAATCATTTTACCTTAGTGATGAATTTAGGTTAATTTAAGTTACAAAAAACAGTGATTTCCATGAAGTATCAAACAAAATTTCAAAAGTGTATTCTTAGGATTTTCTACAATAAAATGTATTTGTTTATTCCCCATTATATTACTATTTAACAGTTTAAGGCTTTTAAACATGTTTATTTGAAAACAAGAAAGGTAATTTTTTTCCAAAGAAAAAGATTTATGACCAATTTGAACATAACAAAATGTTGAAAAGTGTATTGTGAAGTCAAACTTCAGTAAAAAAATATACAACATCTTCCTTTGAATATTCCTCTTTCCATTTTTTATCAAATCATTAAATTGAAAAATGTTCATGAACAAACAAAAAAATGTAAAAAAATCAATACACCTTCTAAAATTGAAATATAAAAAGAATTGGCATCAATGTTCAGAAATTCTCCATCTTTTTGGCAATAGAATAAAAACTTAATAGTTAGGTTATGGAAATGGAAATAACTCTATGCTACCCTACAACCATTCATCTTCAGTGTTATATAATAAATATAAAAAGATCAAAAAAACAATCCTATGAGAAGATAGAAAAATAATATACCTCTATTTAAACATAGAAATGTCTACAAGTTAATTAAGAGAGACAAGATTTTTGGCTCGGAGTATTTTAGATGGCTGCTTTCCAGTTTGAAATTGCACCCTATATTTACCTAATTTTACATATGAAAAAGTACTTCATGTTTTTTTGTTAATTTTTTTTTTGTTTGAACTTTATTTGTGAGTTTTATAATAAATAACATATTGTGTCGCTTAATTTATTATTTTTATTATTATCAAATGCAGCTATTGTATTTCTTAAATATGAACGTAACTTATGTTTGATCAGTTGCCCCAGCCAGTGGTCACGTGGGAATCGTGTATACGCACTATCCCACGGAAGATACAAACCATGATAGTGTAGGTTAATTGCACCCTGGACCTAGGCATGGATATGTTCTCTGACAGCTGGTGATCAGACAGACAGAAAACATACCCCTGTCTAACTCCCGAAATGCAAAAACTGTTTTATGATATACCCCCCAAAAATTCCAAATTGTATAAAGAGAATAAATAAACAAATTAATAAATATAAATAAATAAAACTATAAACTTATTGATGTTATAACATATGGGACATTCTACTTCTAAATTAATTTACAAGGATTCCAGTATGAAATGTACATGCTTGTTCATTCAGTACAATCGATGTACTTTGCGCTGTTGTCACTGTTTAACAAGCTACGTACACAACAAACTGGTTAAAACATTAACATGATTTCATACCCTGTATATCATGACTACCATGTCCGAGGACGACCACTGGTTGGCACTGCTAATCTACATGTCTATATGTAATGTGAACGACTTATTGTGAATTAGATTAATTATTGAATATGCAAAAAAGTGCTATAGCTTTAGCAACTATTTAGTAAACTTAGTGGAATTTTAAATTGTTCTATAGTTGTATGTAAAAGTTGAATGCTTAACCTTAGGCAAATGAAAAATTTTTGTAATGTTAAAGTTCATTGAATTTGTTTAATGTTGTTTGTGTAACGTCCAGTGCTGAGTATTTCATCGTTATCTTAGGCAAAGAGGTCTTGTGCGGTTTGCCTTAGTGAGCTTGAAATTGTGTGAAGGCATCTGTTATGAAATATTGATGCAGGAGGACATTAAATGATAAATAATCTTTAACAATTAAAAATATCCAATAATTATAATGCTTTTTTTCTATATGGCAGAAAATGAGTTCTTCCTAATATTGGTAAACCCCTATTTTTTTTATTTATATATATAAAAGTTAAAACAAAATACAATAGTTATGTATTTTTCAAAATTTATATGTTGGGACAACCTTTAATGGTTTTATTCACGGACAGAAAATAAATTCTTCCTAGCATAGGATTACCCTTTATCATTTAGTTGAAATAGAAACAATAAAACATAAAAATGCACACCATTAGTATTTTACAATACTGTTACGTATTAATGGCAAGATTTTAATTTCAAGTGTCTTTATCTATTATGGACTGACAAGGACTAACCTAAGCTGACCTGACCCCAAGTGTCAAGTGAGTTATTCTCATCACTTGGCTTCCGTCGTCTGTTAACTTTTACAAAAATCTACTGTACATTCAGGATCAAACTAGATCAAAGCTAACTCAAGTTGATGATGCGTCCACTTTCTGTCCACACTTCACACCTATGAAATGCATATTTGTCATAATGTTAGTACTTTCTTCTCTGCAGTTCCACTTTACACAGATACATCTTATATTGATCCTTCCATTATCACAAAATGAATATGTATATCACTTTTTGGTATTGTCCACTTATATCCAGAGAGTGCAGTTAAGTATACCAAAGCTGAATAGCAAATTACCAACAGTTGTTTACATCCAAAGTCAAACATGTAACTGTACACACGTTTACATTTCATACTAAGATAATGTTCATGGTTGTAAGTCTAAATTGGAAATTAGAAATTGTCCAGTTCGTGTAGCATCTATTTAATAGAAAAAATATAACAAGTATATTTTTTTTAGACGGCTATGTTACACAAACATATATAACTGATACTGTGGTGTCAAACAATATATGTACTTTCTGACATTTAATTTTAGCAATTATTTCCCCTCTTGGATTGTGTAAATATGTATTATTCTCTGACAATACGCTGTGAAGGCTTGGTTAATTCACAGTAATTAAAAGATTGACTGTTTGAAAATCTATTCCTTTGATCTCAACCTGAGTGCATTTTAGCCTCAAGTGTTAACTGTTCCAGGT